ATAACCAACTTGGGGTTGGAGATACAGCGCCGGCAGCTCTAGTGTCTGGGAGCTAGGTTGTGAAGTTGTGATTTTCCATACTTACTATTTTGTAGGGCGCCACTACAACGTTACAGAGCTGAAATTAACTTTTGGTTGTAGGCAAGAAGTTAAACTCAATATTCAGTTACTTACTCAATTTTAATATGTATTGATATTTAAATGTTTGTAGGAATATCCTAGTTTAAAATGTTAATAATTTTATATTTAAATGTTTTTAAAAATTAAAACCCAAATAGCTATTTGTTCACACATAAAATACTAGTATCTCTACATTTATAATTATAATTTACCAATCCGCAGACTTTTATAAAATACTTAAAACCTTTTAAAATAACTAAAGAAAAATTAAACCTGGATCCATCCCTGGAGTGTTATCTGGCACCTGTTCAGCATTATAGTTGTTCGCATGGGGGTTTCCACCTTATTGCATGGCCTTTAAGCCTGGACAGCATGATATTGTTGGTCTGACCCGATGATGGTAATAACTGGTCTTTAAACCTTCAAAGGCCTGACAAGGAGCACCCCAAAGAAACCCTAATGGATTAATATGCAAATTAGTCTCGCTACCACCTAGGCTGTCAATACTTACGGATTTCTCCGGTTTCTTTCTTAAAATGTTGAAAATGTTAAAAAAAACAACAAACTATGTAGCCTTAAGGCCGATGAAATAGGTGAAACGCATTTATAACGCCATGGAACACATCTACGAAACAGGATGACTTAGTAAATTAAAGATTAAAAATTAAACCACACTCACCATGTTGCACGTGAATTCACAACAACCCCAAACCCGTCTTTAAACCAGGGTAGAGAACAACCAAAACTCACGATGATATTTGCTTAACAAATGTAACTAGGTTTTACGATAAAACATTAATAAACTGAGCGAGATCGTTACACAAATCCGATCTGTCAATCGCTCCTCGTTCACCACGCTTCTCCGAGACCTTCTCTCTACAGGAAGCAGTGTTGCCAACTCCAACTCATATTTGTTAAGGTCTGTTCCAACGCATGAGTGAGTGTGATTAAAAGACAAATAATATTAATGATTCTAATTATATTCATAAATCCAAAAATAAACAAGATATTCATTCAATTTACTCAGTCACCTATCCGGTGCTATGGTTATTACCACCTATTGACAGCCAATTTGGAAAATAACAACGAGACCAACTGCATACCCACCATTATTTCAGTATTCCCATGTTATTCGACAAAAATGATAAAATTACCAAAAATCAAGTAAGCAACTGTTTATAATAAAACAAAAATATAATATTAATATAACCTAACTTAATTTTAGATCTTTATGACCTTAAAGGACAACACTAAAATGAACTTATCAAATAATAAAACTGATACAACTAAAATAACCTAATCAGGCTCCCTTAACAGTATTATACCATAACGCATTGTGCCAAACGTAGCCAAGATATCACATACTAAACATGAACGCAAATAGAAAATAAAAATAGGTATCCTTAATAAATGTGACAATACTACTGGAACTTACGGTCCCCACTGCAAGGTAGCCGGTATAAACAAATCATAAATATTCTTTTAAACTCAAAAACTGTAACCGAACATTTGTAAGGTTACAAAATAAATATTTTAATTACAGGTAACAAAACATTCTGACACCAATATTCCCCGCATTATTTTGACCGACTTGCGGCACGTGTTCCTCTTGTCGGATTGAGTTGAATTTTTGGTGGATTTATTTTTTAACATAAAAGAACATTTTCACAGGGTGGCGCGGTAAAAACCTTCAAAATTTTGTCTACCCATATTAGGGTGGTCCTTAATAAGGTTATTTTCAAATTTCTTTGCTCCCAGGGGCTCAAATACTTCCAAATTGATAAAAAAAAATTCCCTGAAAATTTGAGCTCTTAATATTAACTCTAAGATAGTGCGCATTCCAATCTAAGTTTCCTATGGAAATAACATAGGAAAAATTACTTTTGTTGTTTATAATTTTATAACTTGGGAACGAATAAATTAAAAATTATAATCATTCATATTTTTATAGAGAATTTAACGCTCTACAAAAAAGGTCTCTTATAATTTTTCCATTAGTCTATTGGTTTAAAAGTTATTCAACGCCAAAGTTTAATTTTCATATTATTATTAATATTATCAAGGCTTTTTTATGAGGCGCCGTTTGTGTCAAAATTAAAAGTGCTAAATAAACTTATTTTGTTTTATAATTATAATTATAATTAATTATATGCTTTACCAAATAATTTTTTTAAAAAATTATTTTTTTATAAAAAAAAATTTTAATTTTTTTTTTCTAAAAAATTTTATAAAATAATTTTTTTATAAAATTATTTTTTTATAAAAAAAAATTTTAATTTTTTTTTTCTAAAAAATTTTATAAAATAATTTTTTTATAAAATTATTTTTTTATAAAATTATTTTTTTATAAAATAATTTTTTTATAAAATAATTTTTTTTAAAAATATTTTTTTTAAAAATTATTTTTTTAAAAAATTATTTTTTTATAAAATAATTCTTTTTTATAAAATTATTTTTTTTGATTTTTAGTTTTGTTTTAAGAGAATTGATTTATTTATTTTAATTTATTTTCAAGAGAATTATTTTATTTATTTATTTTAGTTTTTAACACGTGCTTTTTTATAAAAAACGTTTAAACATAAAGAATTCTTGTTAAAAACTAAAAATCAAAATAAATGTAGATAAAAAAATTAATAAATTAATGAATAAAAATAATAAATTATTATTTTCAATCGTTTACTCGAGTGTCTACAAACAAATACAGATGGCTGCAGTAAAAATTAATTTATAAATGCGCCCGTCGTCTTTTATTAAATAATTTTTGATTCGAATTGAAAATTATTTTATAAAAAAATAATTTTATAAAAAAGAATTATTTTATAAAAAAATTATTTAAAAAAAAAATTATTTTATAAAAAAATAATTTTATAAAAAAATTATTTTATAAAATTTTTTACAAAAAAAAAAATTTATAAAAAAATTATTTGGTAAAGCATATAATTAATTATTTATAAAACAAAATAAGTTTATTTAGCACTTTTAATTTTGACACAAACGGCGCCTCATAAAAAAGCCTTGATAATATTAATAATAATATGAAAATTAAACTTTGACGTTAAATAACTTTTAAACAAATGGACTAATGGAAAAATTATACGAGACCTTTTTTGTACAGCGTTAAATTCTCTATAAAAATATGAATGATTATAATTTTTAATTTATTCGTTCCCAAGTTATAAAATTATAAACAACAAAAGTAATTTTTCCTATGTTATTTCCATAGGAAACTTAGATTGGAATGCGCACTATCTTAGAGTTAATATTAAGAGCTCAAATTTTCAGGGAATTTTTTTTTATTAATTTGGAAGCATTTGAGCCTCTGGGAGCAAAGAAATTTGAAAATAACCTTGTTAAGGACCACCCTAACCCATATACAGATGGGCCACCCTAGTATACATGTAACTCGCGCTCACGCCTAGAGTGACTTTAAATGTGCCTAGCTAGATAGGGGAACCATCAAAACTGTCCGGCGACAGAGGAAACATCATTTTATAGTTGTCAAAATAACATATATAAAGCCCAGCTATTATACTATGACAAAAGTTTTATTATAAATAATTATACTTTAGGAGTGCCTGGGAGGGGGTTGCTACTGTACTAGGTGTCCGGCGATAAACGTGGTACTTTCTAACAATATTGCAAATAAAATATATAAAAACTGAGCTTTATACTATAACAAATTTGAGACCCAATTTTACTCACCTTTACTACCTGTTACCTGCCGAAGCCACTCAAGCTCCATAGTCAGCGTTCGTTTATACCTGTATAGTAGACATACAGAAAACAAATTTCAGCCTTTATAATTTAACGAACGTCTGGGAGCCGTGGGCTAATGGATTTTAAAAATACTATTTTTAAATAAATTAATTTGGCTTTTATTTCCGAATGATATCGCAGTTGTCTTTTTTGCATTTAAATGTAGGCAGTGGCTCTTGGTATATTCAATGAATTTTTAAATTTCAAAGTTTATGGCTAAATAAACCTGTGATAACTCATCATTATAAAAATAGATGTAGAGTTGAGTATCATCTGCGTAATAGTGTTGGAAAAAGGAGATAAAATCCTGTGAAAAGTTAAAGGTGTAAATAATAAAAAGTAAAGGGGCAAGCATGGAGCCTTGAGGAACGCCGCTTCGAATTTTTAGGAATTCTGATAGGGATGCATTATTACTAACTGCTTGGTATCTATTAAGCAAATAATTTATGAGTAATTTACACGCATTTCTTGAGAAACCAATATAGTAATTTTTCCGCTGTTAAGGGCACGAAATATATCATCAGTAACATTTAATAAAGCCGTATTACAGATAAAGCCTGGTCCAATGCCGGTTTGATTTGTAGGAATAATTTTATATTTATCTAAATGTAGGAATAATTTTATGTTTGATATCAGCATGGTTTTCCTACTAAAGTAGTAGTGCCTATCAATATGTGAAAATGCCAATCACCTCGCTCACTGTGCTTTTATTTCGAATGTGCTTCGAACCAGGCACCGACAGACAGCCTGTTTCGGACTTTTGGTCCTCATCAGTGTCGGGTAGCCTTGTTGGACCGAAGCACACTCGAAACAAAATGCACCTGCCGCTCTTATAGCAAGAATTGCCACAGAACAGCGGTGAAAACACAGCGAACGAGAGTTAGAGTTAGAGTTAGAGAATTCTAACAATTTAAAAGCTGATTTGAAACAGAATATTCTAGAAAATTCCAACGAGTTGCAACAGAAAATGTTCGAAAATTCTAGCCATTTAAAAGTCGATTTACAACAAAAGATTCTGGAATATGTCAACGATTTAAAGGATGATTTGCAACAGAAAATGCTGGAAAATTCCAACGATTTTCAACAGAAAATGCTAGAAAATTCCAAAAATTTAAGAGAATATTTGGAACAGAATATTCTAGAAAATGCTAATGAATTAGAAGAGAAAGTAGGACAGAAAGTTGACGAGGTAAGAAAGGAATTGGATATGAGAGAAGAAAAATTGAACGAGAAATTGGAGGTCCAAATTAGAGAAATAAATAGTAAACTGAAACTGTAAATTTACCTATGATGCTGACGGAACCAGGAGCAGTGCCGGAGGGAAGCCGAGTACGGATGAAACCACCTCATTTCGATGGAAAATCTTCTTGGACAAATTACATCCGTCAGTTTGAGGCAGCTGCAAAAGCAAATGGCTGGGCACCAGAGGAGAAGGCTACAGCATTAACTCTTACTTTACGCGGAGATGCAACGGACATCTTGCAGACACTTTCTCCAAACGAACAAGAAGATTACGAAGCCTTGGTGAAACACCTGGAACTGCGATATGGTCAGACACATCTGGAACATGTCTACCATTCCCAACTAAAGAACCGCTGCCAGAAATCAAATGAGACTTTACAAGAATTTGAGGCTGATATTGCACGCTTGGTCCGGCTAGCCTATCCAGCTACTCCAACAACCGTTATGGAACGATTAGCACAAGACAGGCTCTAACACTGGCTCGTCCGAGCCAACTGGTTGATGCATTGGCTCGAGCTTTGGAATTCGAGGCGGCAAAGCAGAGCTGCAGGAGCCAGCCTAGAATAAGAGTCGATGAATCAGGCGAGTTTTTAAAGAGAATCTACCAGAAAAGAAGGAAATCCGGTGTTAGAGATGTGGAAAGCTCGGACATATACGAAGTCGTTGCAGAAAAAGCCAGGAAGCGCCGACTTCATCTCAGTCGGAAAAGGGGCTACCGTCGACCTGTAACCAGCATGTCCCAGAGGATATCGAACGTGTCGCATCTCTTTTACACCAGTCCAGCAGAGTTTTTGTGGATGGTTTAATTAATGGAAAATTACATGTGCTGCTGCTGGATACAGGTGCGACGAAGACAATTATTAGGCCAGATATTGTCGAAATGTCCAAGATCAAATCTACTAATCGGCGACTACGTACTGCAACAGGAGAAACCGCTACTGTTCGTGGAGAAGTGGACATCACGATGGTCATAGGAAATTTAAACATCGAGCATTAGTTGCAGATATTGAAGATAAAGTTATTATAGGCATGGACATTATGAACTCAATAGGATTTGAACTGAACTTTAAGCAAGGAATATTGAGAGTAAATGGAGAGGAAGTCGTGTTGCATCGATCTAAAAAAAAGAATATTCGTGTAATGCTAACAGAAGATGCTTTGATACCGGAAAACAGCGAGATGATATTGAAGGCTTTCTTGGATTGTAAATCAGAAGATGGAAGTATAATGCTTCTGGAGCCGAGAATTGATGACAAAGAGGTCGGTCGAGGAATTGTAGTAGGGAAGACTTTAATACGCATCGGAAAAGAAGTGCCTGTAAGAGTATTGAATGTTAATGGTTAGCAATGAATTGACGAATCTTCTGTCGACTTCTTCAAAGGATTTGAAACCCAATGAAAGGATAGAGCTGAAAGAGCTGATTCACAATTATCAGGATGTCTTTGACGACGGACAAGGAAAGAATGGTAGGACAAGATTGTCCAGCATAAAATTAACACCGATGATGCACAGCCCATTCGACAGTCGGCAAGAAGGCTACCACTTGCCAAGCGAGAGGAAGCTGATAAAATTGTGCAAGAAATGGAGAAGGAAGGGGTGATCGAACCATCCAACAGCCCATGGTCTTCCCCATTGGTGTTAGTTAAGAAAAAGGATGGATCAACTCGATTTTGCGTCGATTTTCGTCAGCTGAACAACGTGACGAAGGACAGCTACCCTCTACCTAGGATCGATGACACCCTGGACACATTGGCTGGATCGCAGATATTTTCAACTTTGGATTTAAAGAGCGGTTATTGGCAAGTTGAAATGGCACCAGAAGATAGAGAGAAGACGGCGTTTACTGTGGGTGCAGGACTGTGGCAGTTTACTGTCATGCCGTTTGGACTATGTAATGCCCCTGCAACTTTCGAAAGGCTCATGGAAATGGTTTTGAAGGGAATATCCTGAAAGACTTGCTTGGTGTACCTTGACGACATCATTGTGGTTGGGAAATCATTTGAAGACCATATGAAGAACCTGAAGGAAGTCTTTCAGCGCTTAAGAAGTTCCGGCCTGAAGCTAAGGCCGAAGAAATGTCACTTGTTCCAGAGGGAAGTGGGCCATGTAGTTTCGAGTCAAGGAGTGGCAGTGGACAAACAGAAGGTGAAGACGGTGCGGGAATGGCCAATACCGAAGAACAAACATGACTTAAGAAGTTTTCTTGGATTATGCACCTACTACCGTCGGTACGTACCAGGATTCGCAAATGTTGCTAAGGTTGTTGGGACGACGAATGCCAGGAAGCATTTAAGAAATTGAAAAACGCGTTGACCAGCTCACCAGTCCTAAGTTATCCTCTTCCGGATGGTGAATTTATTTTGGACACGGATGCCAGCAATGTGGGCCTGGGAGCTGTTTTGTCGCAGATTCAAGAAGGAAAAGAGAAAATTATTGGATACTTCAGTAAAACTCTATCTAAACCAGAGCGAAATTACTGTGTTACTCGACGCGAGCTGTTGGCAGTGGTAAAAGCAGTCGAACACTTTTACAAGTATCTGTATGGAAGAAAATTCTTGCTAAGAACGGATCACGCTCCCCTTAAATGGCTTTTGCAATTCAAGAATCCTGAAGGACAGGTAGCAAGATGGATTGAAAAACTACAGCAGTTCGACTTTGACACAGAATATCGGGCTGGGACCATCCATGGAAATGCTGACGCCTTATCGAGAAGACCGTGCCCGGAAGACTGTAAACATTGTCTCAGGGCCGAAGAAAAGGATGTGTTTGTTCGCAGGACTACAATCGTGGATGATCATTGGCAAACCGCTGAGGTTCAACAAGACCAAGAAAGGGACTCGGATTTGAAGCTTATCATCGATTGGAAGAAGAACGACCGTAAACCAACGTGGCAGGAAGTCGCCCAATATTCGCCTAATGTGAAATCGTACTGGGCCCAATTGAATTCCATCACCTTAAGTGACGGGCTTCTAAAGCGCGTTCTGGAGATGCCAGAAGGGGGGGAAGACCGGATGCAGATAATAAGATGGAGGACATCTTGGGGTGACCAGGACGCTCGGAAGACTTAGGGAACGGTTTTATTGGGTCAACAGCCAACGAGATGTGAAGGAATGGTGCAAGAAGTGCGCCGTTTGCGCGGCAAGCAATGGACCCCAGAAGCACCCAAACGCCCCAATGCGACAATACAATGTGGGCAGCCCATTTGAGAGAATTGCAATCGACGTGGCGGATCCATTTCCGGAAACAGAATCTGGAAATAAATACATCATCGTTGTAATGGACTACTTTAGCAAGTGGGCGGAAGCGTACGCCTTGCCAAACCAGGAAGCTGCCACAGTGGCCGATGCCCTTATTAAGGAGTGGATTTGTCGTTTTGGTGTCCCAATGGAAATACATTCAGACCAAGGCAGGAACTTTGAATCTATATTGTTCCAGTATGTGTGTAAGATTCTTAACATTTGGAAGACGAGGACCACCGCATTACATCCGCAGTCTGATGGAATGGTGGAACGAATGAATCGAACGATAAACAGGTACCTTTCGAAGGTAGTCTCTGATCACCAAAGAGACTGGGATCGCTTCTTCCATCTGTTCCTGTTGGCGTACCGTTCTTCTATCCACGATACAACCGGTCAGACACCCGCTAGCATTGTTATGGGACTTGAACTTCGTTTACCTTGTGACCTGAGGTTTGGTTGCCTACCAGGGGAAGATATTGCTGGAGAAGATTACATTAGCAATTAGGAAAATAAGCGACATTCACAGCCGAGTTCGTTTAAACATCCAGAGTGCCAGTGATAGAATGAAAGAGGCATATGACATCAAGGCGGAAAATGGAGGATTTCAACATGGAGACCTAGTTTGGTTATACAACCCTCAGCGCCGTCGTGGTTATTCACCGAAGCTGCAGACTTCTTGGGAAGGACCATACGAAGTCATGAATCGAATAAATGACATCATCTACAGGATCAGGAAACAACCAAGAGGAAAGCCGAAAGTGATCCATTTCAACCGATTGGCCCCTTACGCTGGAAACAATGATCAAATAGACGATGCTACAGTAAGGAGAGTTAATCCGCCGGAAGACGACTTGCCTTTTGAAGACTTCATGTATTTATATTCGAGCGGTAAAAAAGCTCGCTATGGTGTCACTCGAGAAGAACAACAAGATCTGTTCACGGTTTCGGCCGATTACTCCTTGGCTCACTGTGTTGCGGAAGACCTTAGGATGTCCAAGGGAATAGCGGTTGTCTTTAAAAACAAGTTTGGACGGGTCGACGATCTACGAAGGCAGAATCCCAAAGTTGGAGAGGTGCTTGAAATTGAATAATGAGCAGATAGGCAACATAAGTATTTTCTATCTGGTAACGAAGCAGCTCTCCCATCAGAAGCCAAACTACCGTGACGTATGGAATGCTTTAAATAAATTAAGGGATACCCTTTTGTCCAGGGACATCATGAACCTGGCGATACCGAAGATTGCTTGTGGACTTGACGGTTTAGACTGGAGAATAATTAGAAGTATGGTGGAAGTTATCTTCAGATTTAGTGGCATACCCATTCTTGTCTGTTGCCACAACCCTAAAAGGGGGACGTCACAATGCAAGTTTGGATCTCTATGCAAATATCGCCATGGAGCTGAGGACCATTTTCGGGACGAAAATGTTTTAAGACGGGGGCAATGTAGCGAGTACCGCTCTGGATATCGAAGTGATGAGTCATCGCCGATGAGTCATCGCCGGTGAGTCATCGCTGGTGAGTCAGCGCTCGAACAATCGAGAGTGTGGAGCTCGCTGGAATGTTCCAGAAGATATAGGCGCTGAATGTATAAGGAACGGAGCAGCATAAAGCAGTCAGTTAAGTTTTAGTACTCGCGTCGAAATAAATAAATATAAGTGCAAATAAATAGACTCTTGAACAGTAGTGATATATAAATAATTAGTAGTTAAGTGTTTAGTTAGTTTTATAGTGTTTTAAGTGTAGTTAAGTTATTAAATAAATAATTAAGTTCGTTAATTAACCAGTGCGTGTTTTAATTCACACTACGAACAGTTAAAAACGTTACAATATAAGCATGGTTTTCCTACTAAAGTAGTAGTGCCTATCAATATGTGAAAATGCCAATCACCTCGCTCACTGTGCTTTTATTTCGAATGTGCTTCGAACCAGGCACCGACAGACAGCCTGTTTCGGACTTTTGGGCCTCATCAGTGTCGGGTAGCCTTGTTGGACCGAAGCACACTCGAAACAAAATGCGTAGCCAAACTATAATTTCAGTCAGTAATAATATTTTTTGATTTTTTAAATTTAGCTAAAGCACTATCTTTAATCATTGCTTTTACTGTGTCAGTTATCCACGGCGCATGAGGTTTAGCAATTCTTTTTTTACGAAAAGAAGCGTAGGTATTTAATAATATGGTAATATTATCACTTAAGAATAAGACTTCTACCATCTATACCAGCCTTACTCAAACTTTTTTTTTTGGGCCAAATATGTATGAATGCTACCTCAGGCGGGCCGCAACGACCTATATTACAATAAAACTCAACATTTAAACGTTATAATTTATTTTAAAATTAATGACATCTTGATTGTTGAAATAGGGACAACTTTTGACAATTTTAGTTAAATCCGGCTACATGCTACTGTAAACACGTCGTCAAGGTGTGAATCAGTTAGCCGACATTAGACACATTGCATATGTGACGCGATACGAAAAAACTAGCATCCAAAAATCAAATTTTACATAAGGCGATTGAAGTTCGGA